CCTTCGTTTGTTTTCCAAGGCTGCCACTACCTATGGAGGGTGCTCCCATTTGGAATATTTCCAGCTTTTTACCTGTATTACCAATCCTACTATGAAGTTCCTGCACATCTGAGGGACTGTGTTCGAGGTTTATATAGATGCTTGCATTCGGGCCAACTCAGACCCAGATGTCCTCATGCACCATCTCCAATTTACGCAAGATGTTCATTCCTCTGGACCGGTTTGTTGAAGATGTAGCGCCTCGTGCCGTTGGCAGTCAGCTGCTCCTTCTACGTCAATGGCAGCAGCTCCTCGGCCTTCTGATACGGCGCAAGCCCTCATTATGAGGGGTCAGTGCTTCCTCACACTCTACATCCACAACGACGAATGCCAGGTCCCGATCTCCTTGCTGATCCATTGCATCCATTGCAACATTGAGTGTTTGTGCCGGGGTCTCTTTGCAGCTGTGTGTCCTGACCCTACATCTCTTCATTGACTCATCAACCGTTGGTTCGACGGCGATCTACAAATTGGTCCAACTCTCAGAAAGAAGACCCTCTACCACTAAAAGTGGAATGCGTTGGAAGCCTTCTGTGATGCTCTTGACCACCTCTTCTCCGCAACAGATCACTGGTGATTACCTCCATCATTTACGATTAACTTGGAAGCTAAAAGAGTCTACTCTGGCTAAATACCTTGCTGTGTGTCGTTGCAAGTACAACTGGATCGCAGATATCTACAGTTGCTGTGCTTCAGTCCCTTATTCGGTCCTACACTTGGTTCTGGAAGAGCAGCTGACGATTGTACAACTGAGCAAATAGTAGGTGCATGTACACGCTCCGGTTTCCGTACTACGTATTGTGTATATACTGAATAAATCCTGGAACTTTAGATACTGTGTTTATTATAATTAATTTATCTTGTCCATTTTTGAGTACCGTATATTACCGCGTATAAGCCAATTTTGAGGACCAGAAAAAAGATTCTGTAGAAAGGGGTCGGCTTATCCACGGGATACACTTTCATGATTGTATTTTTCAGATCGTGATCCCTCAGAAACATCGCCTGAATGACGGTTCGATAGAATACAACTTCCCGAAAGTTTGGAAGTTGCCACGACTAGAGCCATTATTGTTATAAATTATCAATAAAGTTATTATTATACACCAATGTTGTTATTTAAAAAAATGTTTTGCATGTTAATACTTCCGATAATAAGTTTTCAATTGAATGTTCAAAGTTTATCGTTCTTCATAAACTCCACAATCTTTACATGTAACAATATATGTAATTCACAGCTATAATATATAAACCCAAGATGAAATCACCAATAGCTAATACGTACGTTTTGCAAAGTTCATAAATTGATAGTGAACAAGTATCTACCTTTATTGAAAGAGGCAAATAAACAACTGTTACGGCGAGTTATTCCGTTCGCCATGTGCAAAAACATGTGATCAGCTGTTTCCTGTGACGTCACAAACGGTGTCCACTGTGACCACTTGTTTAAAAAGCAACACGGTACACAAGGAAATGAGCACTGATAATAACGGGCCGATTGGTATTGTCATGTTGTTTACACAAACATTTTCAAGTTGTGGGTGCTTAGCGATCTTGTTGGGAGTAGGGGCTTAATATTCCTTTGTTTTTGAGAGATTAGTTTAATAAACTGGAGAAGCCTGTGAGTAAGTGATGGTCATTCAATGTGTTCATAGTTTATTTAATTCAATTGGTTTGTTTGTTTGTTTCTTGTTTACGCCACACTCAGCAATCAATTCAATTGGATTAACATACAATAGTGGTATAAAGGGGGGTATAAAACATGGTATATTTTTACTAACGGACATGCTTACGATGCTGAATTCAAACTGCGAGTCTTCGCTCTAGCTGATATTTTTTCTCACGGGTTCATAATTCTATATACACCGATTCACAAAATGGCGCTTCGTTGTTGATGGCAACATATAACGATCATTATGAGATTAAAAAAAGACAAGAGAAACAGCTTCCCACATTATGAAAGTGGATGACTGGTTTGTTAAATCTTTATTAGAAATAATAATGACTTTTTCAATATAATTCCAACGTTTTTCATCTATTTTTGGACATCTGCGAGTACCGTCACATGTCTTGCAGTCCGACTACGCAGTGTCCTGGTTCGGCTTATCTGCGGGTCATATCATTTTCTTTCGTATTTCAATGGTCAAGTTGACACCTCGGCTTATCTACGGGGTCGGCTTATCCGCGGTCATATACGGTACCCAATTGGAGGTGGCTTAGCTTGTCTGTAAAGACTTCGGTCTCAAGCAGTAAAAAGCCGCAATGCACATCCGTTTTGGAGATGTCCCAAATCCTTAACCCGTTCACCTATGCTTATGCATGTGTAGCCTGCTACTGACTTGAAGATCCCCTTGTGGATACAGGTTTGTGCCACATGAGCTTCCTCCCAGTTCCTTTCCACATTCCTCAGTGGTTCGTAAGAATCAACATGATATACCTCCTGTCCATCTCTTGGCTTTGGCCTGTCAAGTGCTGTATGTCTTTCCTGGGTCTGATCATTAGATGTTCACAAGATGATTGGAAATTTTCTTCATGGCCTCATGTTTTCAAGTTTTTTGGATAATTTTTGTTAAGTATGGGGCATGAATTTCACACTGTGGTCAACAATAATTGCAATGGGCCATATATTCAACATATCTTAAAAATATAAATCTTGATCTTACTTCAAACAATATCATATTATTTCATCAACAAATCTCGCTGTGCCAACTTACAAACGTAACTAGACTCATCCCTCGCGATACTGTGGATACGCTTCCTGCAACAGATCAGATTACTGCTATTGATGCTTTGGAATGAACCTCTCACATGGCAAGAAGAGACATGGTGACATCATGGTGACGTCACACTCGCATGGGGGGAACACAAGACATTGTGACGTCACACTCCAGGGTTCGAAATTATTAGTGCCATCATGTCGAGGGCACACTTGAAACTGTAATGGCACAGTGAACTGTTGTTATATCTATTGATAGTCTTGAACATGCTGAACCCAACACTTGTCCATGGTTACAAATTGCTAAACGAAATAAGCTGAGTCTGCTTCGAAACAACATAAATTTTCACGAGAGATGATGAACCTTGAGCATATCTGATCATGAGTCTGACATCTTTCAACTTTCTCATGAGAGATTCCTTCTGTAGTTGCTATATGGTAAGTTGTTGATCATCCATGATCATATCAGTTTTATGTCATATGAACATTTGGTATTTGAAGGTCTTCCTGATCTTGGATCATCTTCAAGGCTCTATGCGATCGCAAGTTGTTTGTAGCTGTCCAGGTCCAGACACAGGGAAGCAGTGGCAAATTAATATGTCATATATCCTGAATGCAACAATCTGTTTACGAAAAATGTCCCAAAAGAACATTTGCAGCAGTGAAATCCGTGTCATTATCAGTTTATATGGCACTGTGACAGGCATGAAACTTAATCTTTGCAAGTGTCTAATCGAGTCCTACCATATCACATATGGTATTCTGATACTTTGTGCATATTATTTCACCATTATGAGTTTTATGAAAGCAATCAAAATATATTTATACATTTCCAAGAAATTGGAAACAAAGTGTGTTTTTCAACAAAGTTAAAAAATTGCACATGTAACATTGAAGATTAAGAAACGTTTTTTGAAATTCAGTTAGTTATTTTATATATAGTTATTTTATATATCAAGTTGACCATACTATCTGTGAAGAAGTATTTCAATTTTTATGGCTATCAGCATGTCGGTCTGTCCATCCGCCTGTCCATTTTTTCCGTTTTGGGAGTAGAACTTGAAAACAATTAAATATGTCTTGTTGAAACTTGCAGATTAGTCTAGTAGTAAACTGGTGCCTTTGATGATTTTGGATGTTGAGAAATGCTGAATGTCATTTTAGTTTCTGGAGCACAATTTGTTAACTGTTCAATATTTTTCAATAAAACTTGACAGATATATCACACAGATCCTGAAGTGGTGCCTTTTGCTATTTGTGCATTTCTATTTTTCTCAATTTTTCATGGAAACAATTTGGACTTTGTCTCAAAAGTGGCCGGTGGATTTCATTTCTGGAGCACAACCCCAAAAACGTTCCATATCTTTCAATATAACATGGCAGACATATTAAATTTTATTCGATTTCCATGACTACAAAAGGGTATAGGGGGATGGGGTGGAGATAGTTGTTGTTTCCGGAGCACAACTTGAAAACTATTAAAGACTTAATGGTGCTTTTTGCTGTTTAGGAATATGTCAAAATTTGATTTTGTCCCTGTTACCAATGAAATCGAGGTAGGTGTCGTTTCACCAGGTGGGATGGGAGTAGTTGTTGTTTCCGGAGCAGAACTAAAAAACTATTCAACATTTTTCATCCAAACTTGGTGCAAAGATTAATCAAGGGCTGAAGGCTTTTTGCTGTTTAAGAATTTATAAAAAAAGAATTCTTTTCCTGTTTCCATGGCAACAGGTTTGACTTTGACTCTTTGTGGTGTGTTTGTCCAGACCACATCTCTAAAACTAATAGGTATTCTTTCATGACACTTTGTACACACCAAGACCAGGTTGTCCACAGGTGCCTTTTGCTACTTTGGGGTGTTTAGTATTTATATTATTTTTTTTGTTTCCATGGTAACAAGTTTGACTTTTACTCTGTTCATGGTGGTGTGTACGTGACATAGAAGTTCCAAATCCCAATTCCATGGTATAGTTTTGATAGCTCACAAACTACTCTAGTATACGGATAGACAGATTAGATAAGATTTCTCTGATCAAGTTGGACTTAAACTAAAGTGACAGTTAGATCATTTGTTCTTTCAAAATTGTGCGGGTCGGGGGGGATTTGTCATCTTCTGATAACTCTTGTTGTTTTCTTCTCTGAATTGAAGATATCCAATGGAAATGAACCAAAGCGGGGTATAAGTAGCCAAACTCCGCTACAGAGCTGTGGCCCTGTGTTATGAACTGTCTGCCTTCTGTTGTAGGTGTGGCGTGACCTGACGGAGTGGATGTGGCTCCCACACAGCACACCATGTCCGATGCTGACATCATGGCTGAGGCGTATGCTACCGACGGAAGCAGAACCCCAACACAGCCAGCTGTGGAAGAAAATGGGGAGGGTGGAGCATCAGAGAAAGAACAACAGTCAGATGCCTTGGATATGTCTCACACACCTGTCTCCCGCTTTGGCCGGAAGTTCTCCAGTCCAAACCTTGTATCAAGTGCCATGATGAACAGCCTTCGCTATGGCCATAGTAACAAGCTGGCATGTAGGTACTGTGGAAAGACTTTCTCACAGGCAGGCTACATAAAGGCGCACGAACGCTTACACACTGGAGAAAAACCTTTTGCGTGTTCGGTGTGCGGGAAGCGATTTAGTGACCCAAGCAATTGGAAGAAACATGAACGAGTCCACTCTAACCATAGCAACAACAATGTAGGAGGGGGTGGGGGCAGCAATTCTTCCAGTCCAAAGACCCCACCAGTTCCACAGCCACAGTCATTGGTCAAGTCTGAGAGTGAAAGGAGCCTTGTAATTCGGGCTGCCAGCTCAATGATCACCTCATCTTTGCAGCAAAGGATGCGCAATGGGACCGAGATGAATTCTCCTATTGTCTGCAAGCTATGTGGGAAGGTATTTTCTAGTCAAAGCAGCCTGAGCACTCACAAAAGAATCCATACGGGAGAGAGACCCTACACCTGCATATCCTGTGGCAAGAGCTTCACTCAGATTGGCACGCTACGGACTCATGAAAGGATTCACACAGGGGAAAAGCCCTATGTCTGCAAGGTCTGTGGGAGGACATTTGCTCAGAGTGGAAGCTACAGGATGCATGAGCGGAGGCACATGACGGACACAATCCAGAGATGCCACATCTGCTACGCTACATTCACAAAGTGGCAGGACTTGCAGCAGCACATGACAACCCACCCTCAGATGTCGGAAGCCATGATGGACTACTCTCCACCTGGGCTTGTGAGTCCAGGGCACCAGCCCACTGACCAGAAAGAAGATCTGAGGGGTCCTAGTCTTCCTGTGTCACATGCAGACACCATCCTGCTGGAGGGGGAGGGGCATTTCCAGGCACAGTCAGTGTTTCAGGTAGGCTGTCACTTACACCCATGTTCAGATGGTTCCACTTGCATCACATGTAGTGCTAGTTTCATTGGGAGTGACCTAAATGGAGACACTGATTCACAACTGTTACACGGTGTGACATTTCTCCTTATTGTTAAAATGCACATTTACTACAAAGTATGGAAAACCAAGTATGGAAAATAACACTTACTTGCAGTAGGGAAAATAACACTAAGGCTAAAAAAAAAGTATTCTTCGTTCTCAGGCACCGCCGCATCATCATAAAGTACACCACACGTTTCGTTTTTATTTCCATTTTCAAAAATAAAAATCCTTAAATGTTCCACTTCTCGAACACACGACCTCAACTGTGAAATGCTACAAAACTTAAAAGCAATGCGATCCAATAAAGCGTGCAGTTACTTCCCTTTTCATGCGCACTGCTTTACTGTGCATCGCATGTGTTATGGTCATGGTGGCAATAGGAGTTCTTGTGCTTGCTTTGCTGTTTGCAAATTAGGTCAATGAAAACATTAAATTTGTGATACAACATCACTAGACATGATAATGGTAATCAAATACAAATTTAATGGTATTTGTGTACTGTATGAGGGACAATGTTTCATACGCAGAGGTTATTTGTCTCGTAAAATAAGCGGGAAATCGATGCTAATTTATGTACCCCAAGTATGGAAAATAAGATAACCCACCAAGTATGGAAAATAACACCAGCTACCAAGTATGGAAAAAAACACTAGATTACAAGTATTGAAAATAGCACAAGCTACCAAGTATGGAAAAAAACAACAATAACGACCAAGTTTGGAAAATGATGCACTTACAACCAAATATGGAAAATGCGATAACGGTTGCTCATGAGATACATTTTGATATTAATACACTCATCGTATAAACATCTTCTATTGAGAAGTGGTTCAGTAATCTCAGTGTATCACAATAAGGATGGATGGGACTTTGTTATATAGGGGCATGGTTATCTATATATCACTATAGGGATGGATGGGACTCTCTTATATAGGGGCATGGCTATCTATGTATCACTGTAGGGATGGATGGGACTTTGTTATATAGGGGCATGGCAGTCTGTGTATCACTGTAGTGATGGATGGGACTTTGTTATATAGGGGCATGGCTATCTGTGTATCACTGTAGTGATGGATTGGACTTTGTTATATAGGGGCATGGCAGTCTGTGTATCACTGTAGTGATGGATGGGACTTTGTTATATAGGGGCATGGCAGTCTGTGTATCACTGTAGTGATGGATGGGACTTTGTTATATAGGGGCATGGCTATCTATGTATCACTATAGGGATGGATGGGACTTTGTTATATAGGGGCATGGCAGTCTGTGTATCACTGTAGTGATGGATGGGACTTTGTTATATAGGGGCATGGCAGTCTGTGTATCACTGTAGTGATGGATGGGACTTTGTTATATAGGGGCATGGCAGTCTGTGTATCACTGTAGGGATGGATGGGTCTTTGTTATATAGGGGCATGGCTATCTATGTATCACTATGGGGATGGATGGGACTTTGTTATATAGGGGCATTGCGATCTATGTATCACTATAGGGATGGATGGGACTTTGTTATATAGGGGCATTGCGATCTATGTATCACTATAGGGATGGATGGGACTTTGTTATATAGGGGCATTGCGATCTATATATCACTATAGGGATGGATGGGACTTTGTTATATAGGGGCATTGCGATCTATGTATCACTATAGGGATGGATGGGACTTTGTTATATAGGGGCATTGCGATCTATGTATCACTGTAGTGATGGATGGGACTTTGTTATATAGGGGCATTGCGATCTATGTATCACTGTAGTGATGGATGGGACTTTGTTATATAGGGGCATGGCAGTCTGTGTATCACTGTAGTGATGGATGGGACTTTGTTATATAGGGGCATGGCAGTCTGTGTATCACTGTAGTGATGGATGGGACTTTGTTATATAGGGGCATGGTGATCTATGTATCACTATAGGGATGGATGGGACTTTGTTATATAGGGGCATTGCGATCTATGTATCACTATAGGGATGGATGGGACTTTGTTATATAGGGGCATTGCGATCTATGTATCACTGTAGTGATGGATGGGACTTTGTTATATAGGGGCATGGCAGTCTGTGTATCACTGTAGTGATGGATGGGACTTTGTTATATAGGGGCATGGCAGTCTGTGTATCACTGTAGTGATGGATGGGACTTTGTTATATAGGGGCATGGTGATCTATGTATCACTATAGGGATGGATGGGACTTTGTTATATAGGGGCATGGTGATCTATGTATCACTGTAGGGATGGATGGGACTTTGTTATATAGGGGCATGGTGATCTATGTATCACTGTAGGGATGGATGGGACTTTGTTATATAGGGGCATGGTGATCTATGTATCACTGTAGTGATGGATGGGACTTTGTTATATAGGGGCATGGCAGTCTGTGTATCACTGTAGTGATGGATGGGACTTTGTTATATAGGGGCATGGCAGTCTGTGTATCACTGTAGTGATGGATGGGACTTTGTTATATAGGGGCATGTTGATCTATGTATCACTATAGGGATGGATGGGACTTTGTTATATAGGGGCATGGTGATCTATGTATCACTGTAGGGATGGATGGGACTTTGTTATATAGGGGCATGGTGATCTATGTATCACTGTAGTGATGGATGGGACTTTGTTATATAGGGGCATGGCGATCTATGTATCACTGTAGTGATGGATGGGACTTTGTTATATAGGGGCATGGTGATCTATGTATCACTGTAGTGATGGATGGGACTTTGTTATATAGGGGCATAGCAATCTATGTATCACTATGGGGATGGATGGAACAGAGATAGAGTTGAGAGCAGTCTCAACCCAAGGACATCTGCTGAGATAAGGGTCGGCATTCAGAGTCCTACAGAGATGTCGACATCGAACCTTTATCCACCCTCCAAGGGTTGACATTCCTCAGGTCGACATTTAGCGGATCGACATTCCTCAGATTGACATTCTTCGGATCGACATTCCAAGGGACGACATTTTTCTTATCGCCATTCTAAGGGTCGACATTCCGATGAACGCACTCCATCCAGTCGTAGATCTCGAGATCTACAGGTCAACTCTCTAAGGGTCGACATTCAGATCACTCTCCTGAGGGTCGATCGTCCCAGGGACACACTTCGACATAGTAATCGCAAGATTACTCTGATTCAGAGTGTCACCTCTCTACAGATCAATTGTATGGACACGAACCGAGACGTTCTCATTCTACAGATCGACATCGTCACCTCGACCGATCACGTTCATCGGACTCACAGTGTTATCTCTATGGACAGTCATCTTGACACTTTGGTTAGATAGAGATGTCGACTGGGATCAACATCGATGTCCATCTCACTGATGCCAACCTATGAGATACTATCCTTATCAGACAACTGATCGATATGGAGACTGCCATGAAGGACTCCGGAGACTCGCCTAAGCAGGCCAAACTCTCAAACAAATGACTCCTTCCATCCTCGGGACGACTGGGAACTGCTCCCAGTTGTAACCGTTACGTTCATTCCTGTAGGCGGAAGACTAAGTCATTTTGCCGGCAAATGGACCATCCTGGAGGACCCCTCCGTGTCCCAGATCCTCACAGCCACTAATGGGACTTCCAGTGCGATCCAGAGGCCATACCTGACCAACCAGCTGTAAAGACTACAAGCGACAATAGGAATGTTGATATCCAAGCATGCTCTAGAGTGTTTAGGCCCAAGTCCCAGTCCAAGTTCTACTCAGCTCTGCTTGCTAGTCAACACAGAAAAGTTGGAAACTACACCCACTCGACCACTGCAGTTCAGCGGAGCACTTTTCGACATCTCAGGGAGATGTTCATACCTCCTGACAGATGGACAAAGATACAACAACTTGTACCATTAGCACTCAGACAGTCACTACATCTATGACAAAGGCAGCAGTTGCTCTGTCTGTTGACATCGGCACAAGCCCTCACCCAGAAGGGTTGCCTCCAAATACGGCCAATTCAGCTTTCCTAACACCAGATCTTCAGATCGACGATTTTGGGGTCCTGATGCAGCTCCCATTGCACCTGTACAGCCATAAACAAAGGTGGTTATGCAAAACAAAACTCTTCTCAGGAGTTCCCCTGGTACCCATTCTACCAACACACCACTTGTTTGTGGATGCGTCGACAGTAGGGTGGGGAGCACATCTGCAGTATCAATAAACTTCATATCAACAATCTCAAATACAAGGCGGTCATTCTGTCGATCTCTCATTGGGCAGAAGTACTTCGACAATGCCTCAGTCGTATGGTATATCATCAAGATGGGGTCAACCCAGTCAGCTTCCCTGTTGGCTCTGACGATGGACTTTTATCGACAGATCGATGCATTGGGCATCAACGCCCGAGCTCGACACATTTTGGGAATAAGCAGTGTCACAGCAGACTCCCTGTCCCGTCCAGATCGACCATCCTTGACAGAATGGCATCTACACCCAAAGACCTTCGAGGGGATTTGCCACCTCTACCACTGCCTAGAGGTTGGCTTGTTCTTCACCAGGTTCAACTCACAACTCTCCAATTCCGGATCTAGAGGCATGGGAGTTTGACACTGGCCATATCATCGGAGAATCTCAACGCCTACATGTTTCCACCAACAGCCCTTCTACCACGGGTAATCATTGGATTTGAACGTAATATTACGAAACCTGATGTCAGCAGAATATGAACCCTTGGCGGAAAAAGATTTTGAACAGATTACACTCAAGACAGTCTTTCATCTAGTCCTGGCTACTGCTGCAAGGGTCAGTGAGGTACACACCTTGGATGTAAACAGGAATTGATTGACACGGAAAGGTCCATCTGGGTCTGCGATGAGATTTCATTGCTAAGAACCAGCTTCCTGGTTGACCTGACAGGCTATTCGCCAAACCGGCTTTGGCTTCGATTCTACATCTGAGGATCGCTAGGACATATTGCTA